AAATGTAACTCCCAATTATTACCATTAAATGAAGTTTTATTTTTATTGAGTACACATGAGCATTTGATGTGGTCAAGTCTCACATGTCGGTTATTTTCGTCACAGAGTTACGAGATATTATACTTGTATTGAAACATTTTCAATAGTAGTCAAATAATCATCATCTTCAACCTATTTATACGCCCTACTGCTGGGCACCGGTCTCCTCTCAGGCAAGAGTTTAGGCTATAGTATTTTTCGAGAATTGTGAACCTTCTTCGACGAGCAGGTTTCATCAAGATTTTGTCCATCATAAATTCTGAGAAACTCAGAATGAGACGCGGTAGGTCAAATCATTAGGCAACCACGTCTATGCATTTATCATACCACTATTCATAGTTTACAATTAAACCAATTTCCATTTAATCTCTTTGTCATCGTAGTTTTAAAAAAGAAACAATTCTCACATTCCTTGCTGTCAGGAAAAGCAAGACCACTAAGTTAAGTTTCTGCTATGTATGCATTGACTTACAATTATATGGACGTCGGGTCCGCGCTAAAAAGTGTCCGCACTTGTAAGGCGCTAAAATCGTATACAGAGCGCGACACTCCGCTTTAGTCTTCATTTGTTCTACCGACAGCGCGATACTGCGATGACATTACAATTTAAATTTCGAATAGGTTGACATTTTTTTCGTGGTTTTTGTATTAGACCCGTCGTCCATTTATTTGTAAGTCAATGTATGTATGAGAATATTGTTCTTTTAAGTAGAAATTAAAAAAATCTTAATACGCTTTATTTACTGCTGAATTTGTGATACATTAGTTAGCTACATATGCAAAATTTTGAAGAATTCAAATGTTGTGCATTTTGTCTTTAAGCTTGTTTTTGACATAGCACGTCAAGAAATTCATTTTTATTTTAACACTCTTGATAAAAGTTTATTTAATCAATATTTGAGTTTTCTGTCGTTACCATGTTAAACATTCCGAAATGTAATAAAACGAACCGTAAGATATAATATACAAAATTCTAACAATACGTAAATTTTAATTTCGAAACGATTCCCCAAAACAACGTGAACAAAAATAGCATTTTATACAGATTTCAAAATTTAAACTTCGAAACTAATGTTTAAATTTCCCGCCGTTACTACAAGCTATGTCTCTTCTAGTTTCATATGAAGCAGTGTTCATGTAGTCATTTCTCGTTTGATACTTCTATTGGCTAGCTGAAACTACTACATGCACAAAGTGCGCACACCGATGCATAGCAGCTGCGATTGGATAACCAAGTACTGTGCAGGTAGTTTGAAAGTTTTAAACTTTTGCGGCGCGGAATATACTGTGTTTGGTCCAAGTCAAAGATAAAAACCAATTGAGAGTTATTTTTGCTGACAACGTGTTGACGATTTGAATATATTATTTGTGTTCATAATCGAATAAATTGCGTACGGAGCATGTAATCTTTTAATTTTCATATGTCTTGTGCAATTTTAAGTACCATTACTTCAAAGGACCAGTAATGTGGTTGTAATACACAACATATGCCAAAATAGATATAAATCTTGCTAGTTTTTTTTTTAATTTACAATTCATTAATATGTCGATACATGTCAGTATGCATTATTCATATGACGCGGATCTTCGGAACCGATTATGCTAAAGTTTCATTAATTTTAAGTACACCAATGGTTAAGAGCATCAATAATTAAGCAAACATGCCATAACAGTTACCTGCTTCCAGTACTTCTCTTCAAACTATGTTTACAAGTATTCCACTAGCGCCAATTTACAAGCATTCTAACACGAAACTTGAATAGTGGAGATATAAAGTTTGCAAGTGTGACTTGTCATACCTTGTTCCGGAGTATGCAAGGCCTTTACCCAAGTAGTTTTTAGAGTTCCTTAACAAAATGGAACACTTACAATTAATTCGTCTATCCGTTTATATTATGTACGTGGGGTCGAGCTCGGCGTCGGCCGCGTGGTTTGATATAGGTAACGGGATGCGCTTATGCTATTCGGTGGTACAGCGGTACAGTACTATGGGCGCTTGATGAGAAGGTTCCGGGTTCGATTCCCGATTTGGGCCAATTTAGGAACGTTGTTGTACCATGGTTCTGTCTGGGTATTAGGAGTTATCGTTTTTCTGGTATTCATAATACAGGAAACCCCCTAATTAGAGACCAGAAAATTGGTACGATAGTCGGACATTATTATTATTTTCCCTAAAATACTTCTGTTTCGCATAACTTCCAAGAAAAGGAATCTCAGAGATGCGGTCGAGATACAACAACGCTATTAGTATCTCAATTTCCTGCACCGGAAAGTATGCCTTACATTTTTAACAATTGTGAGATCTTGCACTCGTAATAGAACCTCCATATACTACTACCTACGTACGGTGGCGTGCGGACACTTCGGACTTCGCTATCCGCTAGGCCTCGGCCTACGACCTCGGCACTTACCACTTTGTTTCATAAATTGAAAATATCTGTTTAATGGCGGCCATATTTAAACTGCAAAAATGTATTTTGACCACAAATTATTCTCAGGCAATCTTAAAAATGTTTCCATGCCCATTTTGCCACAAAATGGCGAAAAAACTTTTGACCCCAAATTATAATTAAGTGCTCTTTAAAGACCTTCGCATGTCAATATTCAGTCGGATCGAAGCAAGTTTATCTTCAGCAGCCATTTTGAATTCGCCATCTTGAATTTTTTAACACAGGGAGTTGACCACTATTACCCTCTATGACATTCCTTCCAGCACCTACTAAATGTTTTTGAATTTAGAACATTTCAGAAATTCGCCAAAGTGTACCTTATAATACACAAATATCCCCCAAAATGAATGATTATAGTTTTTACAGGCCGTTGATCACTTTTTTATATTTTCCACATTCAGGTCTTTTGATTCTAATTTGGTTCTTTGCTTTGGAGCCTACCCGTGTATAACGATATAAATATATTTTTTCCACCATATCGAGAAGTATGCGTTTCATTTTTCTAAATGAGTCAGGCTTTCTAGCTTTATATATAATGTATTATTATACAACATATGTTAATGTGGCGCATATTCAGAGCTTTAAAAAACTTATCTACGATACAGATAAGTAATTTTGAAAAGTTCGACTTGCGCAGTCTGCTTTGTTAAATATCATAATTATACTTTACAGAATATTAACCTAATTGCATTTATACCTGAAGGAGAGTGGTTCCACTCATTTTAGTCTTTTTTACCTACGATGAGTATAATAACAGCTGTCATTTGGCAGTTACACTGATATTACCTTACAAAGTCTAATATATTTTTAATAATTTTCGAGAAAATTTGCTAAGAACAGTTATCTATTCCATGGTATAAATTTCCATGGTTAAGACTACGCTCAAAATTCTTCATTTATTTGATTATATCTACATTAAAGTATTTTGTTTTGGATAAGTTACAATAACCTTTTTTTTGTAACCTGTCTGAGAGATTAGTTGTAAATAGTATGAATGCTACATAAAAATATCAAATGACACCCATCTTATGTGAAAAATACTACAATTCGAACAATTTCTATGACGTGGGTTCCCTCGAAATATTTCAATTCCATAACAAATATTCTTACGAAAAATATATGGAAGGGCTGATTTTTACGCAATATAGAGGTCCGTCGTAGTAAAAATAATACGTATTTATGGTTGGAATCCCACCTCCTTGGATGTAACATAATGGATTTTAGCACCTAAATTCAGCAAACGCGTTCATTTTCCACGATTCCGATTTCAATTTCATACGATGGAAGAGGAATTACTCTCAGTTCTTCTTCCATCGTATGAAATCGATGAAAACGAACATCGTGGTAAATAAACAAATGAACACTTAACTCAACTTAAATACTGCATATCGTTAAAGAAAAATTAAAAGCATTACAAGATTTCTTCACGTTTTAAATTCCGTATTACATATTTCCTCGTAGCATTACCATAATTGGTTCTAGTCTGTTTGATCTATTTAAATGTACATAGTCGTTTTGTACTATACTTTGTGGTAGACATTTCTGACATATCTACGAAGAGTTAATATTTTAAAGAATCGCGAGGACAACAATCCGCGGCAAAAACTAATATCAATACAAGTAGTAAAAACATCCGTATATCCATTGTATGTAACGCTAGATTTTTATTTAATAAATGTTTCCATATTCCCTTTGTTTCTATAAGCGACAGCCTTTTCTTTTTTATAAATAGTACATAAAAATAAACATGTAATATATTTTAATACTAATATATGTACCTAAGAGTCCCGCCGCCGCCGTTGATTTCCACATATCGGCACAATCGGCGTTACCTACAGCAAAAAATGCAAAATGCAAATCAATACTATATAATAGTTTGAAAATTGGTTTTCGATAACTTTGCAATAATTTAATTGTATTTTAGTGTAAATACAAACTCACTATGTACAACATAGAATTCAAATTCAGTTTCAAATCGCAATTTGTAAGATACAACACAATCTTCTTTATAGTTAAGGTATTTTTTATTTTTATTTTGTGAACTCTCAAAATAAACTCATACAAGATCCAGTGCTTGAAACGAAATTCAATTGTTGATGTGTTAAAGACAGTGTGTTTTCAACTTTAGAAAAATATACGAGTAATTGCACCATAATAATAAAGTCAACGACTGGCCATCGATGCAATGAAACATCTCAGTATGAGCAAACCACATTTGTAGCGACAAATTATCGTTGCGGTCCACGGGCAGCAGCGAGAGCGTATATGACCTTAGCGAAAATTTCGAACGGACAGAACGGCGATTTCAGAGCGGGATAACAGACGCTTAAGCTAAAACCAAAATTCGCGAAAATCTCTCGTTCGATACCACAACCGAACCACGGCCAACCTGTTGTAAGGCGCTGCGCAACGCGAGGCCGTGTTACAGACTCGAAGATCCCCCAAAATATTCAAAATGGCGGTCCTCTTTTAAGAAAAAACTCATATTTCAATTTTTTATGAGGTACTTACCCGATGTTCCCGCCTGCGGAGAGTCGGCCGCGACACCCGAATACTTTTTAACGACTTTCGTAACAGTTGAAATCACTTTGACAGTTGTTTTTTCTGTTGGGCAAAACTACATGGCGCTTCTAGCGCGTAGTAAGCGATCGCGATCCGTGTTAGAAACGGAAGGTTGCGCAGAGAGGCGTGCGATCGCCGCACCAGGCACTGAAACAGTGAGCGGATCACTCGGCGCTCCGCAAGCGATGGTTTGAGCCGCTCCGCGCGCGCCTCCCGCCACTTGTCGGCCGCCACGACCGCCCTTAAGGCCAAGAGCCACACTGACTACAACTTACCGAACTTTATTAACGCTACTAAAACACTTTTTTACAGTTTCATTTATTAGGTTTAGGTATAAAAAGAAAAATTAATGTTACATAGTCGTAGCACGCTACGATTGCCATAACTTTGTTTCAAAGTTCTTCGTAGCGGATCTACGCAAGCTGTAGTGCTATGCCGTAGCATGTTCTACGTGCTTTTAAGTTAATTGTAGAAGGATCACATGGAGGGACTTTAAAAAATACATTATATTTAATAGTCACAATTATTTACTATGTGATTGTTTTATTATTGTAAAGTTAAATAAATAACTAAAGAGATGTACATAATATGTATAGACATTTCAATAAATCATATAATATTCGCAAAGTCTAAAAAAAATTTAAAATACCCATTGATATTTAATCAGTCTATTCATTTAATCTTTAGTCATTTTAGATGGATTCCGAGATGCTCTAATAATGTTTGCAATTTTCTTTCTTAGTTATTAGCATATATTTTGACCACGGTCTGCAATAACGATGTGTGCTTGTCCAGAAGGTGCTTAGTCACTCTCGCGTTGAAATGACGATGTGTTCAAGAATCAAATCGCTACGTGAATTTAGGTAGTATATCTACCAAATTAATATGTGATAATCGCCCAAATTTGGAGATCGAAAATAGAAGTTGGAATTAAATCGTCCAATTCCATTGCACTCTTAGACTCTGAGGACTCTCTCCAATAGGCTAGTAGACGCAAGTGCTTGTATGAGCGTAGCTACGCTCCTCGCTAAGCTACTTTTTACGTTTAACTATCGAGTCTAAGATAGCCAGCTAATGTTAAATATAACCAATGAAAGGTGGTGGTCATTTGAAATTGACTCGCAAAAAAAAGGAATTTTTTTTTCACTATTTGCTCCTAAATAGTCACAAAAGTTTCGACAATTAATTACAGATAATCTATACATGAATTAAATTATCTTTCCAACTTGACAATTTTCAGAAATGAATAGCGTTAGAATTCCAACTTCAAAATAAACGAACACTAAACTACCATTTAAAACATTATTTTTGCAGTGTTAACGTCGTAACTTTCAACTCAACATCTACCAAAACGTGACTGTCAACCATGATTTAATTCTCTCGCTTGCATCTGTGCATTGTGAATATCAAAACTCTATTACGTTAAACTCTATTAAATTAATATAATATTAAAACGGAACGGAATATTTAAAGAAGATGAGATTTGCAGTGGCAAGGCGCTGCTTTTCCGTGTGCTTGGCAAGGCCGAGCAGATGCCATCTCGCCGGAGGGATGGAGGAACGAAGAGTATCCAGGACATTATAACGATGTTAAAGAAAACCGACCCAGACGACGTGCCTGCTTTCGTGGCAAAGAAGCTGCACAAGCTGCCCCCTGTCACGTTCGACCATGTCGATGTCACTAGGCTGCTTAAGGACATCATATCCCTGAAAGCAAGTCTGGCCGAAGTTCAATGTAAATTGGAGGCTTCGGATAACACCATCTGTGAGTTACGTGCCCAAGTTGTATTACTGAGTAGTGCAACTTCGGTAAGTAGGTCACCCGAGGCCTGTAACGTGAATACTCGTCACGAGGCACATAATGCATCTATCGGCAGTTTTGAGTCGGCCCATATGGATGCGTCACCGACCGCTGTCGCTGAGCGCGATTCCCCGCGCCCCGCCCCTCGATTGTCCGCTCCGGCGGAGACGTCACGCGAAAACACGTTGACCCCTTCACGTGATTACGCCGCTGTCGCAGCTGTTAACCGACCCGTTGCTCCACAACCACAAGCCAGGCAGCTATCAACGAAGGGGATGAAAAAACCTCGTGTACCTGTCTCTGAAGTTGCAAAACCACAGAGGCAGACGGACCGGTGCGACGATGACGGCTTCACAAAGGTGGAGAAGAAGAAGAGGAAGCCCACCAGCCGTAACCTGTGCGGCACTGCACCGACAGGGTCCAACTTTTTGCTGCGTCCGGCAATCCCGACAACGCTGCTGTACCTGTCACGCCTGCATTACTCCACGAAGTCTGAGGAGATAGTGGAGTACATCAGGTTGAAATCCAAATACACCCTGAGGGTCGAGCGGTTGGAGTCCCGCCACTACGTGAACTGTAATTCGTTTGTGGTGAGAGTGCCGACCGAACATCTGTCGACCTTCATGAAGGAGGAGTTCTGGCCGAAGGGTGTCCTATACCGGCGATTCCGTGGCCGGTTGCCTGACACCAGATGGCGCCACACGTCGCCGACAACCTAAATACGTGTTAAATTAGTAATAGTGTTATTTTATATTGTTATGTATGTTAGTCTGTAAGGTATGTATCTATGGGTCTCAGTAACCTGAATATAAATAAAGAAATAAATAAAGAAATAAAATAAAAATAAAATATACTTAATTTTTAACTGTGTGGTATTTTATATGAACATAACATGAACATAAGTACGGGTAACATCGCCTGAGAAAATTGTTATGCGTTTAAAGGAGTCACCACACTTATCGATAAGGAATCGCATAGCGCTTTGCGGCACAGATTTTTATTATCAGATTTTATTTTCAGAAATATTTTTTTGTGTCCTCCTACTTAGGTAATCGCGATTAATTATAAGCATTCTTGCACTTTTTTTTGTAATTCGCATGCTGGGGTGTTATGTAGGAGGTGGTGATTATTAGTAACCACCGTAAAGAAAATGACAAAAATAAATTTTAAAAAAAATGGCTTTATTTTCAGTATTGAACTTGTTTTACGCACTGAATTTATGTCAAAAGGCATGAAATTCGGAGTTTCGGAGGAGTAAACATGTTTTGAAGATCATCACAACAACTTAATTTTTATGCTGATCCTCGAAACATGATTTCCCCTCACGATAGCAATGAGGGACAGTATATTTTGCAACTCCAAATAGACCTAGCAGGTTTTTTCGTGTTGTATCTGCTGCAGCTCTTGGAGAGGAAGTAGTATCTGTAACTTAAGCTCTTTTTGATTCCCATCACCAGATTCAGCGCAATGAACACAGTAATTTCCTTATTAGTAATAGATTTGTAAGGACCTTCTTTCAGTTCCGCACAAAGATTGGCATGGAATATTATATGCTGAATGATCTCTTCAGTCCAGAACAATTGGAATACCTTTACAGGAGTCCGTTCTTTAAGAGCAGCTAAGCATATTTGTGCAGGTGTATGGTCTGTAATGAAATGACGTGTTCCTCTGATTATAAAATGGCGTAAGTTATTTTCAATTTTGGAGTGCCAGAGAAGCAGGTGGAGCTGATGGTGGTAGTGGTGGTTATGAAGTGAAAAAGCTGGCTAAGGAAACATCATCGTCAGGCCAAATTCTTCGACACGAGTTACCTCCACAGAAATCTTGGCCGAGAGGAATTTCGCTGATTACGGTAGCTGGTATTACGTCCTTCTCACCATTATCTAAAATAAATGAAATATAGTTTTAGCTTGTGTTTCTTACTAAAAACTGTACTCTTATTGAACGGTGGTTACCTCCGCTAACCACTTTATTTATCAATGTATTGCAAAAGAACGACCACAGCTTATTTGCAAATTTTAACGTAGTTTACACGGACAACAAAACTTTCATAAAGTTTATACATAATCATAAATAATTACTTACCAATGAAAAAAAACTTCCGCAAATCCGCTACTCGAAAATTCAAAATGCAAAATTAGTTACCACGGCTGTTAGACACCATATACGCGGTTTGTTGTTGATTTAGTCGTAGAATTAAAATGCTTGTCTAAATACAACGAAGTCAAGTAAAACAAATTTACTATTGTTTCAAAAGAAAGTAATCGATACTGTAGATTTCGTTATCGAATAAAAGGAGTTGTAGTCGGATACTAAACGTTCTGTCGTTTGTAACACTTTTCAGGTCTAACGTTCGAAGAATCAGGGACCTATTACCTGCGAATTTCTCGTTGCGAGTTCGGTACGGTGGGCAACGGAGTTCAGTTTTCCCGCGTTTCGCAACGCTTGGCCTCCGCCCGCACGTCGTTTATAAGTGCTCAAGTTTTGACGCGCGCAACGCTTATGTCCATGTAGTAAGAGCGAAAAGGTCGTTGCGCGTTTCTCTTCCGTTCGAATGGCCGAACGCGAGTTCATACAAAATACTACACAGTACAAAGTTACCCTATTCACTCTAAGGCAAAAAAAATAATATTCCGCACCGTTTTATTGCGTCTCTTAGTCAAAATAAGTCCACTTGCAAATGCTATACGTCAATTACGTCTAGGTACGTTTACAAAACGAACTTCGCCATGTTTGAGCAAGAAATTACGAAGTAAACTCAAGGATTATTTTATCTTCTTGCATAAACTTAAGCAAAGTTCTTTTTTATCTTTTCTATTCAAATGTAAGTGTGCATTTAACCTCCATCTTACCTGATGGAAAGTGACGATGAGGTCGACGATGGAGCATACACACCTAAATAATCCCTATTCATTCTCGCCTTGAAAAGGTCCAAGTTTTAACGTTCAAGGAACAAGTGTTCAAGCAGGGAATTTCACTCCATAGACATTCGCCATATAAATGTGGAAGCGTAACGTTTCGTGCGAATCTTTGGAGTATCCACAACATAGGGGTGGAGGCCAAGCCTGTGATAGTGATATCCGTGACCATAAGACATTGGCTGTGTTTCTCCACGTACACTATTGCCAATACTTATGAACAAACTTGTAAGTCACTCTGGTCCTTAATATGC